TCCAAAAAGAGATCCAGCTGTAGAAATAGCTGTTCGAACTGAGTTAAGAGCTGCATTTACGGAAGAAATATCCTTATCGATTCCGGTTTTTATGTTTGTAAGTTGTGTGGTAGAAAATGCTTGTAAAACTTTTACAGCTTCGGCAACTGAGCTTATTGAACCATTTATAGCTAATTCTAATAGGCACTTAAAGGTACTTTTATAGAAATGAATCATCCAAACAATAATACCTTCGAGAGCAAGAATTCCAAAATCCAATGCTTTTGAAGCCCCTTTGATTGAAAGATTGACACTGTCAACTGTTGCACGGTTAAATCCATCAGCCATGAAGTGTGGTAATGATATTAGGGTTGAAGTTGCAAGTTCAAGAGAATTACATGATTTAAGCGCTTTTTCTTTGACTTCATCAACTAAAGGTTGTATGGAGCTCATTGCTATGATGAGACGAAGAGTTATAAATAGCAATGCTATTATCGGATATGTGATCCAAGCGAGAGATAGTCTACCATGCAAACCAACGTATGGCTGAATGTTGGTTGGCGATTGTAGTGGATTGGGTGGATACTTCTCTGAGAAGTCTGTGAATATATTAGATATCAATCGTAATGATTAAAAATATAATAAATAATAATAATCTGATTTACTAATTATGCCTCCCATATTATCTAAAGAACTAAAGAATGTTTGCTGGTGTTAAACCTACCATTATTTCCTAACGACTGCTTCTCAGTGTTATATGTGGATGATCCACTCGATTTATATCTAAATCCTTCTTCAGCTTGCAAACTTGGTGAAGGAAGAGCAAAACCACTTGATAACGCACCAGGCGACGCAATTTTATTAGTCTTAAGAGGCATTCTTACAAAAGCTTTCTATATTAATTCTACATATATGATTAACGAAAACCAAAATAATGGATAATGGATAAGTTGGGCCCAGCCTGAACAAACGGAATTGCAACTTTGTTTCGTTAATTTATATTATTCTCAGGTATCAAATATAAAATATTGCCTTATTCGTAAAACAATATTAACACTTTTGAAGCATCGAATTAATATGTACATCTAAACATTGTTTGTAACGGTAGATCTTGTAACAATGACTGGACAGAACTTTATTGTCGATCTTTGTTAACTGACAATCACTATATTACACAAATGCTTGACTGATTTATTAGTCTTAACTCTAGTAACTCTTCAAACGTGTAATGCTTTAATTGTAAACATTTTATATCCTGAAGTCACAAATAATGAACATCGCGAAGGCTTTAAGGAAGGGGATGACTGGTTTAAATTATTATAGATATAAACCATAACCTAACTAGAAATATAAAGATTAAGTAATTCTACTATATCTAGATAGGTATATTTTTTTAAGCATATATAAACATGCTAGGTTAATAAGAAAGTACTCTAATACTGTAAAGCCTAGCTAGGAAATTATAAGTGCATAATACCTTGGTATAAATATAAGTTGTTTTGACAGGTAAGATTTAATACATGGACTAGAAATGGCGACGTTTTATAGGCTGGAGTTTTGATCACTAGGTCCTTTATAATTTGGAATTAAATTTATAAATATATAGTATTAAATTTTATGAATTTCTGTTGCTATTAAGATTACATTTATAATAAATTCACAATAAAGCAATCTTTATTCTTCCATCGATCTTTGTTGTAGTTTTTCAATATCCAACAATTGATCCTAATTTAAGTTCAATTTTTGGATTCTGAACCTAAATCAGGATCAGTTAAACCGGAAGCTGGCATTTCTGAATTTCGTAGAGTATGGTTCGAAGTAGAGATGTTATCCTACTTCGTGTAACATAAAATAATAACTTGTTAAAAATAGATTAATAACTAACTTTATTTGAAAAGATACTCGTAACAAGTTTGGTTAGTAGCAAAAAATTAAAAAATCATATTCGAAACAAGTAATTGCTTTCAAGCAGTTTTAAGGCAAACCGGTTTCATATCGAGCTTCTAAATATTAAATTGATAATATTAAATTGATAATATCTACTTTATTTTGAGTTAAATTACTAACTGCCATTAGTAAAGTATGTTCTTAAAAGCATTATGAATAAGTTTAATTAGTCACATATCAAAAAGTAATCTTAGTAAAAATGAGCAAATCTCATTAAACAGATTTGAGAATTTTAAACAGGATAGCATCCCTAGTTCGAAGGCTTTCACTTAGAGATGGAACCAATTTATCCATACAAACGGATAATCCAAATTTTACTAATTATACGATTATCAGGTTATCCTTATACGGTTGTTATCATTCGTAATCATATTTTGCAAGTTGTTATTGGTTAACTGAATTTTGATTTGAGTTTATCTGTTATGTTTATGTCATACGTAACAAAGAGATGTTTCTGCACGGTATGATTTATTTTTAATAATTATATGGTTTATCTGGTTATTTGTCAGATAAATTCCATTATCTGAACGGATATGCGGATTTCACCTTTACTATCACTTTACTTCTTTAACAAAGAAAAAAAAAGACCATAACTGGTAACTGGAGTAATTTGAGAGAATAGTTTGAGGAATAAAATAATGTATTTATAAGGAAGATTATAGAGAGGTTTCTATAATTTTTAATCGACGTTATGTTCAATAGAACAAATATGTAAATGAGACAAACCTTATGCTGACATCTCGACTAAGTTTGTGTTAACAAGTGTATGTATGCAACATACGTATCAGAATTACATGACATTAATCTGATAAGATTTTATTTCATTTAATAGATTAACTACATGTACTGGTAAAATATTTTCAAATAGTAAGCGGTCCAAATTAATTCCATATAAAATAATTTGATCTTGATTTAATCATCGTTACGTGTATACGTACATGTAAGTATAGAAACTAAAATTCTATTAATCGTTTAAAAAAATTGGTCGTGATACTGTTAAAAATAGGTGTTTAATAAAGTAGTACAGTACGTTTGTACAAATGTATACGGACGTACGAAAATTGAGCAAAATTTTGGTAGTACGTACGTTAAAACAAAATAAAACTAGCACATACGAATATTTTAGTAAATTCGAAGCTTTTTCTTTAATACATGAGTGACATCAAGAAAAAACAAACTTTGTTATTAAACACCGGGTTCAACCATTGAAAAACATGTATAATTAAGACGTTAAATCGTCGTTAAATTATAAATTTACAAACTCGATTCCTGATTTTCTTTTGGTGTCACTCACATTAATCTTCAGTTTTTTTTTATAATAAACATATAATAAAACATAAACATTAATTCAAATCATAGTATCAGTATTTGTCATACAAGCAATTTCATACATATTAAAATTCAAAAAAATTCACGAACCCAAATTTGTATATTAATTTTATTTAGCAATAGAATGTAAATTCATTAATGCTAATTGTACACGAAAGAATGATTTCCATTATCAACAATGATAATAAAAGATTATGTAGTAAAACTAGTTTTTAAAATGCAATTGATGTAAAGACATTGAATCGATTTTATTTATAAATATATTTTCGTACAACCCAATTCCATTTTGGAAACAAATACCGAACTTCATTGTAATTAATGGAAATCAAATGCATCACGTAATCATCAAATCTACGTGTAAACGAGATTATATTAAAGCTTGTGCCCCAAATATTCCCAATGATTATGGGAATTTTAAAGAAATACATTAAGATCTTAACGAAAGTGTAGAAATCTTAATGTAAACCTTTAGATTAGAGCATAGACATCCTAAAAATTTAAAATGTATATAAGAACTTTTAATTCAATAAAGACCTACAGTTCTCATCCACTATCAATTACCAAAAAATAATAATAAGAATCCACTTATCTGAATTTCTCTTGTGAATTATCTTTTGAATTGGACTTGTAACTTTAATAAACCTATTGAGACTTAATTTGGCAAACCGAATTGACTTATAATTTTTATTTGGCTTATCAAGACTTGAATTTTGTTGTACTTATAGAATCAAATATTGCCATTCACATTGGTAATTGTGGAAACTGTGGTAAAAAAACAAGACAATATACAATTTTCACATCTTTCATTTATAAGAGAATATATGTATCATATAAATTTAATTTTTGAACCAAAGATATAAATCAATACTGTGAAAATTATTCAATTACTACATCTAGTCAGAATTAAAATTTTGTATAATAGCTTATTTCAATATCTATTTGATTACTGTTTTTCTAATAAAAAAAATAAACAAAAATAAAAAAAATAAGTATTTCATA